TCCTCCTCTCCTCCTCCTCTTCCTCCACTTCCTCCTCCTTCCTTTCCTCCTTCTCCCCCTCCCCCTCCTCCTCCCCTTCTTCCCATTTGTGCCTCTCCTCCTTCTTCCTCCTTCCCCTCTTCCTCCTCCTCTTCCTCCTTTTCCTTCTTCCCCTCCTCCCCTTTCTCCTCCTCCTTCCTCCCCTCCTCCTCCTTCCTCTCCTCCCCCTCCCCCCTCATTCCCCGCTTCCTCCTCTTCCCTCTCCCTCCTCCTTCCCCTCCTCCTTTCCCTCCTCCTTCCCCTCTTCCCCCTCCCCCTCCTCCTCCTCCTCTTCTCTCGTCTTTCATCTCCACCATTTCCCTCCTTTCTGGCTCTTGCTCTGCTCCAAAGTTAAGCTATCTACCTTGCATAGGAAAAAAAGTATAAAAAGAAATACTTAAAATAACAGGCAGGGAAGATGCAGGCTGAGGAATTTCATGTCGTTTCCACAAAGAGAAGCATCCGGAATCCCATGAGTAGCCACAGGTTTACCCCAATCTCAGACCTTTCTGGTCTCTGTCAGCCAGGGCTCAAGAATCCCCTGCAGAGGCCCAGGGAGGCTTCCTGGAGAAGCAGCCTTGCTTCCTTAATACAAGCACCTTTGTTTATGCTCCAGGACCCTTCCGTGTGGGCCGCTGTTCTTGGTGATTAACCTAGTGGGCTGCCAGTGGCTTTGAAGTTCTGAGGAAGAATCGGCGCAGCATCTATGGACGCCTACATTTCCAACTATGAAAAGTCGGATTAATCCTGGGTTCCAAAACACAGTGTGTTCTTGGTTACTTTTTTTTTTTGAGACAGAGTTTTGCTCCTTTTACTCAGGCTGGAGTGCAATGGTGTGATCTTGGCTCACTGTAACCTCCCTCTTCTGTGTTCAAGCGATTCTCCTGCCTCAGCCTCCCGAGCAAATGGGATTACAGGCATGCGCCACCATGCCTGGCTAATTTTTGCATTTTTAGTAGAGACAGGGTTTCACCATGTTGGCCAGGCTGGTCTCGAACTCCTGACCTCAGATGATCCGCCCACCTCGGCCTCCCAAAGTGCTGGGATTACAGGTGTGAGCCGCCGTGCCCGGCACCTCTTTCCTTCTTGTTTACACATCTTGTACGGATGTAGACCATATTCTACAGCATCGCGGATGGTCTTCGGCACACCGTATTCACTGTATTTTTGCCATTGTTACTGATGCTTTCTGAAGACATCACAGTCACGGAGCCGCCCATCCTTCCCTCAGCATCTTTGTTTCATGTAATCACGACTGCATTGCACGTCATTGGTTTCCCATTCTGCAAGTATTTCTTCAGTTTCCCTTTATTAGCCATACGAGAGCCAAAAATCCCTCAGCAACTGAATAAAATAGAGGAATTGAGTTTATCAGCCCATTTGCGGTCCATTTTTCTCTCTTATTTTATTTTATTATTTAATTATTTATTTTTTGAGACGGAGTTTTGCTCTTGTTACCCAGGCTGGAGTGCAATGGCGCGATCCCGGCTCACCGCAACCTCTGCCTCCCGGGTTCAGGCAATTCTCCTGCCTCAGCCTCCTGAGTAGCTGGGATTACAGGCACGCGCCACTGTGCCCAGCTAATTTTTTGTATTTTCAGTAGAGATGGGGTTTCACCATGTTGACCAGGTTGGTCTCGATCTCTTGCCCTCGTGATCCACCCGCCTCGGCCTCCCAAAGTGCTTGGATTACAGGCGTGAGCCACCGCGCCCGGCTTCTTTCTCTTTTAAAGACAGAATCTGGAGGCCGGGTGCAATCGCTCAGCCTGTAATCCCAGCACTTTTGGAGGCTGAGGCGGGCAGATCACTTGAGGTCAGGAGTTTGAAACCAGCCCGACCAACATGGTGAAACCCCGTCTCTGCTAAAAAATTAGCTGGGTGTGATGGAACATGCCTGTAATCTCAGCTATTTGGGAGGCTGAGGCAGGAGAATTGCTTGAACCCGGGAGGCAGAGGTTGCAGTGAGCCGAGATCGCGCCATTGCACTCCAGCCTGGGTGACAGAATGAGAGACCCCGTCAATCAAGACAGAATCTTGCTGTGTCGCTCAGGCTGGAGTGCAGTGGCACTATTTATAGCTCACTGCAGCCTCAAATTCCTGCGCTCACCAATCCTTTGGCCTCAGTTTCCTGAGTAGCTGGGACCACAGGTGCACATCACCATCCTGGCTAATTTTTAAATTTTATTTTTTGTAGAGGCGGTGTCTTGCTATGTTTCCCAGACTAGTCTCAAACTCCTGGGCTCAAGCAATCCTTCTGCCTTGGCCTTCCAAAATGCTGGGATTACAAGCATCAGCCTCTGTGCCCAGCCAGTTTGTAATGTCTTTCTGTTATTTCTGTATGCCTGAGGATTGACGAATAAGCTAGGAATGAATAAATCTAATATTGTCATGAAGTTTGTTTGTATGAACAGAAGAATGGAATCCAGAAGAAATTTTTCCTAGTTCTAGAATTTCATAGTTCTAGAATGTTATCTAGAATTAATAGCTTGAACAAATCTTGAAAATCTTTCAAATACTAAAATTAGGCCAGAGGAACACGTTTCAGAGATTTGCTGCATCTTTGGTCAACAATGTTGTATCGCACATTTAACTTAAACCTTTGTTAAGCCAGTGGGGCTCATGTCAAATGGCTGTTGTTGTTGTTTAGACTGAGTTTCATGCTTGTTGCCCAGGCTGTACTGCAATTGTGTGATCTCGGCTCACTGCAACCTCTGCCTCCTGGGTTCAAGCGATTCTTCTGCCTCAGCCTCCTGAGTAGCTGGGACTGCAGGTGTGCGCCACCACATGCAGCTAATTTTTGTATTTTTAGTAGAGATGGGGGTTTCACGATATTGGCCAGGCTGGTCTCGAACTCCTGACCTGGTGATCTGCCCACCTTGGACTCCCAAAGTGTTGGGATTACAGGCATGAGCCACTCACTGCACCTGGCCTCAGCTTATTCTTCTTAACTGAAAATTTGTATCCTTTGATCAATATCTCCCAGCTTCTGGTAATCATCATTCTATTCTCTACTTATGTGAGTTCAACTTTTTAAGATTCCATATAGAAAAGAGATCATGTGCCATTTCATGTGTCTTTCTATGCCTCGTTTATTTCACCTGGTGGAATGTCCTCTAGTTTCATCTATGTTGTTGAAAATGACAGAATTTCCCCCTTTTTAAATGCTGAATTGGCCAGGCGTGGTGGCTCATGCCTTTGGGAGGCAGAGGTGGGAGGATCACTTGAGTCTAGGGGTTCGAAACCAGCCTGAGCTCATGGCAATAGCCTATCTCTACAAAAAGATCCAACAAATTAGCTGGGTGTGCTGGTGCATGCCTGTAATCCCAGCTACTCAGGAGGCTGAGGCAGGAGGATTGCTTGAACCCTGGAGGCAGAGGTTGCCGTTGAGCTGAGATCACACCACTGCATTCCAGCCTGGGCAACAATCGAGACTGTCAAAAACAAAATGGGGCCTCACTCTGGCTGGAGCGCAGCGGTATGATCACAGCTCACTGCAGCCGCAGTCCCCTGAGCTCAAGTGATCTTTCTGCCTTAGTTTCCTGAGTAGCTGGGACTACAGGTACATGCCACCATGCCTGGCTAATTAAAAAAACATTTTTTTTGTACATATGGGGTCTTGCTATATTACCCACGCTGGTCTTGAACTCCTGGACTCAAGTGATCCTCCCACTTTGGCCTCCCAAAATGCTGAGGTTACAGGCATGAACCACTGTGCCTGGCCTGGTGTCTGTACTCTTAAAGCCCCCCTGATGATTCTGATATACGTTCCTGCCCTGAAATAAGTAGTATGTAGAAAGAGAATCAGAGAAGCAGGTTGATGTGGGCTGGGCACTATGGCTCATGCCTATAATCCCAGCACTTTTGGAGGCCGAGGGCAGGAGTTTGAGACTAGCCTGGCCAACCTGGTGAAACCCCATCTCTACTAAAAAATACAAGAATTAGCTGGGCGTCATGGCATGTGCCGAAGGTCCCAGCTACTTCGGAGGCTGAGGCAGGAGAATGGCTTGAATCTGGGAGACGGAGGTTGCCGTGAGCTGAGGTCACACCACTGCACTCTAGCCTGGGCGACAAAGTGAGACAAAAAAAAAAAAGCAGCAGGTTGATGGATGAAGAGAGAGGAAGGGAGAAAGAGAGACACTGAGCAAAACCCAGAGACAGAGAAAGAGCTTCAAAGAGGAAGGAAAAGGAGGCAAGGACAAAGGGAGCGGGGAGAGGAGAGATAGTGAAAGAGAGACTGAGGAAGAGAGTGACAGGGAGGGCCAGAGAGACAGCCAGTGAAAAGAGGTGAAGGCAGAGAGAGGCAGAGAAGCCAGGGCAGAGGAGGCTGCCATGAGACAAGCCCCAGCCTGCAAGCCTCTTTTTTTTTTTTTGAGATGGAGTTTCTCTTGTTGCCCAGGCTGGAGTGCAACGTGCACTCTCAACTCACTGCAAACTCCACCTCCTGGGTTCAAGCAATTTTCCTGCCTCCACCTCCCGAGTAGCTGGAATTATAGGCACACACCACCACGCCAGGCAAATTTTCCTGCAAGCCTCTTATTCTGAAAACACCCAAGCCTGGGACATGAGGATGCAGCACCAAAGAAACAGTGAGCAGAGAGCCCCGGACACACTGGGGCTCCCCAGCAATTTGCTGTGTGAGGTTCGCCAAGTCCCTGAGCCCAGCTGTGCCTTGATTCCGTTATCTGTAAAACCAAGGTGTTTTTAACCACAGCTGATCTCATTCAAACTGCCTTCTGACAGTAACCACTGATGAAGAACCCTCCTTAGAGAAGCTGCCGTCCTACAGACAGGCTGGGGGCAAAGCCATTCAGCCAATCCCCAGATAATCCAGAGCTCTTGGGAGCAGAACTTTAAGAGAGACAGTGGAGAGAGCTAGGGCCCAGAAGGACTTTCTCAAAGGTACATTTTGACCTGGAAACTTGGGAGAGTGTGAGAAGTGGGGTCTGGGGGCTCCCATCGCAAGGAAGGAAGGTCAGCTGTAACATGCGGGCAACTCTGAAAGGTCCCAAGAGAAGGCTTGTGGACTTCTTTGCAAAATTCCAGGATGGTAAAGAATCATTTAAAAATTATGGCCTGTACTCCCAGCACTTTGGGAGGTCAAGGAGGGCAGATCACCTGAGGTCAGGGGTTTGAGACCAGACTGGCCAACATGGTGAAACCCCGTCTCTATTAAAAATAAAAAAAATTAGCCGGGCATGGTGGGGGGCACCTGTAATCCCAGCTAGTGAGGAGGCTGAGGCAGGAGAATCATTTGAATCTGGGAGGTGATAGTGGCAGTGAGCCGAGATCACACCAGCCTGGGTGACCGAGACTCTGTCTCAAAAAAACAACAAAAATGACATATTTCAGAAGGCTAGGTTCAATTATCCCACACTTGCCTTCTTGCTAGGTAATTCTAGAGCGCTCAGTCTTTTATTGTTCAGCTGAAACCCCTCCAGCTCCTCAGCTGCATTTCTGGGAGCATTCTCTCCTCTGCTTATTAATGTTCTTGTCCCTGTCTCCAGCCCCCGCAAGGCCCCATCAGTGTGCACTTGACTGAATTTTATGGGCTTCGTGGATATGCATGAGCTTATCTCGAGCCATCATAGATTAACCACAGCTGATCTCATTCAAACTGCCTTCTGACAGTAACCACTGATGAAGAACCCTCTTAGAGAAGCTGCCGTCCTACAGACAGGCTGGGGGCAAAGCCATTCAGCCAATCCCCAGGTAATCCAGAGCTCTTGGGAGCAGAACTTTAAGAGAGACCGTGGAGAGAGCTAGGTCCCAGAAGGACTTTCTCAAAGGTACATTTTGACCTGGAAACTTGGGAGGGTGTGAGAAGTGGGGTCTGGGGGCTCCCATCGCAAGGAAGGAAGGTTTAGAGCAGCATTATGTGCTAGAAATAGGATGTGATCCACATAAATCGTGGCGCGTTTTACAGCAGAAACACTTAAGTAAGAAATGATAAGTGCAATTGATTTTAATAATATGTTTTGGGGAACCCATGGATATCTAAATGATGATCATTTCAACACAAAATAAACACAAACAATTATTAACGAGACACTTTACATTCTTTTTCCTGTACTTCGTCTTCAGAATCAGTATTTTACAACACAGAACGGTCCGGACTTGCCCATTTCAAGAGCTCAAGAACCAGAAGTAGCTGGTGGCTGCCATATTGGTTCTGGAAGGGGAAAGCCAGAGAAAGCAGGGCAGGTGGAGCCTTGTGGGTGGGGTCCTTTCTCTGTTTTTTTTTTTTTTTTTTTTTTGAGACGGAGTTTCGCTCTTATTACCCAGGCTGGAGCACAATCGCGCGATCTTGGCTCACTGCAACCTCCGCCTCCTGGGTTCAGGCAATTCTCCTGCCTCAGCCTCCCGAGTGGCTGGGATTACAGGCATGCGCCACCATGCCCAGCTAATTTTTTGTATCTTTAGTAGAGACGGGGTTTCACCATGTTGACCAGGATGGTCTCGATCTCTTGACCTCGTGATCCACCCGCCTCGGCCTCCCAAAGTGCTGGGATTACAGGCTTGAGCCACCGCGCCCGGCCCCTTTCTCTGTTAATAAACCCAAAGAAATGGGTTAAACCAGATTATCTGACTGATGTAATGCTAAGGAAGGTTGCCTGTACCCCAAGTTTGGGAGAAACTGAAGAACAGGGAACACATTACCTTTAAGAGACTGGATGAATTACTTATTAAATTCTGGGTAGTGGATTAGAATCTTTACGGTTCTGTCAATGTTTGCACCATTTCTCCAGGTAAGGCTTACTCTCCTTACTTTAAGAAAAAGAAAGTTGAGATTCAAAAAGAGCTTACTGAGGTCCTGTTGCTTCTCCCTCCAAAGGCAGCCTAAATATGTAATAGAAGAGGTTTGTGTGTGGGCTTAGAGGTTGGGGGAAGACTCACACTGACGTCTTGTTTCAGACCTGGGGTCATTTTTGCTGAGAAGCAGATGGACTCATTATTTTGAAGGGACACTATACTCCAGTGACCTTACAGCCCACATGCATCTGTAATTATCACAATGGCTTCTATTGTGGAGATATTATCTCCACTAAACAGATAGGAATATTGACTTGGAGTTCAGAGAGGTGAAGTGACCCTCCCAAGGCCACCCAGTTGATACATGGGAGAGGTAGGATTTGAACCCTGGTTGGTTGGGTGCTATTATCTCCTCATTGGTCCACTGTGACATTGTTGTGGCTTTAGAGAACCAGAGAACCAAGGCTGTGGGCTAAGCTGCCTCTTGGGCACCCTATCAGTGCCTCATACCAGTTGTGGCTGCCATTATTTTCCATGTTGGGTGGCAGATATTGGTGCCAATGTCTTATCTCTAGGTGTTTGAGGACGGAAATTATGTCTGGTTCCTCTTGGTACCCACTGCATTTCCTTATAGATGATAGGGTTCTTGAATACTTATTGGATGGGTGGTGGATTAATGGATGATTAAAGAATGAAGGGAATTTGAGCTGTGATCTGGTAAAAACAACAACAAACAATAAGAAAAAAGAATGAGAGAGGAATGTGTGGATAGGAGAATGGATGAATGGTGAAAGAATGGATGAATGGAAGGATGGATGGAGGAGTAGATGAAATAAATCAAAGGATAGATGAAAGGATTTATCTCTGGTTGCTGAGGGCAGAAATCATATCTGGCTCCTCTTGGTACTCGACGCAGTTTCTTATGAATGGTGGGGTTCTTAAATACTTATTGGATGAATGACTGATGGATGGATGATAAGAGGATGGACTGAATGAATAATGGATGAATAGAAGGATAAATGAATTGATAAGTGGATGGTGAAAGACGGACAAAAGGATGGGAGAATTGATAGATGGAAGAATGGGCGGATGAATGGGTGGATGAGTTGATGGAAGGATGAATGGATGATGGAAGAAGATGGATGAAAAGATGGATAGATGGAGGAATGGATGGAAGGATGGGTGGAAGGATACACGGGTAGATGGATAGATGGAGGAATGATGGAAGGATGGGTGGAAGGTTACACGGGTGGACGGATAGATGGAGGAATGATGGAAGGATGGGTGGAAGGTTACATGGGTGGATGGATAGATGGAGGGATGATGAAAGAAGGGATAGTAAAAGGATGGTTGATGGATGAATGGATGAGGGAATGTTATCAAAGAAGAGTATCATTAAGCAGGGAAAAAATTTCTCAGAGTGTAATATTTTCAGGAAAGTTTAAAAGACAATAAATAACAAAAGCAAAAGAAGAGAATTAGAACATTCTCAAAACGTTCGCTTAATTAATTACTGCAGGTCTAGCATGGTGAATGAATGTTACCACCATCATCATCATAAATGGCCAACATTGATTGTGAATTATCTCTATAGCACACTTTGTCTTAAGCATTTTGTTTCTTTCATCCAATTTAATCCTCCCAGGAACTCTATGAAGTAGATCTGATTATTAGCATCACCATTTTACAGAGGGGTAAGCTGTGAAGTACCTTATTAAATGTCACTCTGCCAGACACCAGCAAAACGTCCACACAGGCTCTTGGTCACTATGGAATGCCAACACTAAGTGGCCCCTGGCACCACACTTTGCTCTATAGATGTTCAATAAATTTGGTAAGTCAGTGACTACCCCATAAAATTAATCAATTTCTATGACACCCATCTCATTTTTGTAGATTTTTTCATTTTGTAATTTTAAACTGCTTCCTATTGCTGTACTCAGGATGTTATTTCTTTCTTTCTTTTTTGACAGTCTTGCTCTGTCGCCCAGGCTGTGGAGTGCAGTGGCACCATCTCGGCTCACTGCAACCTCCGCCTCCTGGGTTCAAGCAATTCTCCTGCCTCAGCCTCCTTAGTAGCTGGAATTACAGGTGTGCACCACCATGCCCAGCTAATTTTTATATTTTTAGTAGAGATGGGGTTTCACTATGTTGGTCAGGCTGGTCTAGAACTCCTGACCTCGTGATCTGCCTGCCTCGGCCTCTCAAAGTGTTAGGATTACAGACATGAGCCACCTCACCTGGCCTCTATCTTTTTTTTAAAAAAACATTTTAACTCTGCATGTTTGCATGTGAGCATATGTGCATGTATATACCTGTATATGTGCACATATGTGTGTATATTATGTATACATATATACACATCTACCATGCATATGGGCATGTACATGTATATACACATATGTGTAAAGATACACATAATTACTGTTTTTAAAATGTTTTATTGATACATAATAATTGTACATATCTATGAGGTACATGTGATTTTTTTTCTTATTTATTCATTTGGAATGGGGTCTCACTATGTTGCCCAGGCTGGTCTCAAACTCCTGGTTTCAAGTAATCCTCCCATCTCAGCCTCCCAAAGTGCTGGGATTACAGGTGTGAGCCACTGATGTGATACTTTGATACATGTATATAGTGTGTAATGATCAAATCAGGGTATTTAGGATATCCATTACTTCCAACATTTATCATTTCTGTGTGTTGGGACTGTTTCAACTCTTACGTTCTAGGTGTGTGTATATATATATATATATATATATATATTGTTTTTAATGACATAAGTCACACACAGCTGTGATAAAAACTTAAATGGAAAGGAGTCTCCTATTTGCTCCCTGGTTTCCACTTCCAGAGGTGATTGTTATCCGTGGCTTCTCACATGCCCACTCAGGAAAACGCTTTGTGTGTGTGGGATACAGCTGCAGTGTCTCCGAACTACAAGGCTCTAAGTGACTTAGATTTGTACTGTCTTTTCCTTCCTCTGCAGTCATTCCAAAATTGGTAGTCAGCAGCTTCCAATAAAATCTCAGGGATTGGCAGGACGCGGTGGCTCACGCCTGTAATCTCAGCACTTTGGGAAGTCAAGGCGGGTGTTCAAGACCAGCCTTGGGATGTCAGGTGTTCAAGACCAGCCTAGCCAACATAGTGAAGCCCCGTCTCTACCAAAAAAAAAAAAAAAAGCCGGCCGTGGTGGCAGAGGCCTGTAATCCCGGCTACTCGGGAGACTAAGGCAGGAGACTCACTTGAACCTGGGGGCCAGAGGTTACACTGAGCCAAGATTGTGCCATTGCACTCCAGCCCAAGCGACACTGCGAGACTCCGAGGTCTGACAATAAAAAAAGCCACAAGGATTGGGGGAATGAGCCCAGGCATGCGCATTAAGAGACAAAATGATCGCACCTGACCTTCCGGGGGCATTCCGCTGGAAAGGGAAGAGAGTCTCCGATGCGCATGTGTGCAACTCCAGTAAACGCACCGCGCATGCTCACCTCCCAAGCCTAAAGGGGACACTGCGCATGCGGGAGGCCCAGCCTGAGGGGGAAAATCAATGGTCCAGCCTTGTAGACTTCTCTTCTATGGTATCAGGACGTGCCACACTGTTGCCCACATCAGCAACTTGCCCTCACTGATCCCTCTGCCCGGAATGCTTGTTCCTCAGACTGTGTGTGGCTGACTCTAGGTTTTGGTTCAGATCTCACCTGCTCAGAGAGGCCTTCTCTGACCTCCTGAAGGAGACATCTGTCAGTCACTGTCGTTTGGGTTCCCGTTTATTATTATTTTTATTGCACTTTTCATATTCTGAAATGATTTTGGTTTTGTTTATTGTGATAGAATACATGTAACAGAAGATTAGCATTTTAACGATTTTAAAGTGCACAATTTAGTGGCCATAAGTATATTTACAGTGTTGCACCATCATCACAGTTATCTAGTTCCAGGAACTTGTCACCACCCCAAATGGAAAGCCTCATTTTTTTTTTTTTTCTTTTGAGACCAAGTCTCACTCTGTTGCCCAGGCTGGAATGCAGTG